AGATAGATAGATAGATAGATAGATAGATAGATAGATAGATAGATAGATAGATAGTCAAATAAGCTTTGGACTTAGAGTCAGAAGCCCTTGTTTTAAATATTGGCTCTGCTACTGTTGTCTGTGTGACCTTAAGCAAGTCACTTCTCTTCTCTGGAACAGTTACCTCCAGTGTCCAAAGAAGAGATGGGACTAGGAGGTCTTTAAGGGCCTTGCCAGTTCTAAAGCCTATGATGCTGAAGAACATGGAGAGACTGAGAGACCAGGGCAGAGTGGGGGCCCTAGGAAGCAAAAGCGACATGAATGTGACCTCAGTGCCACCTTCTGGCTGCTGTTTGCTTTACAGCAACCGCCTCCAGGAGAGAGTCCAAAGCCCGGAGCCAGAGAAGGGATTTCAGGGTGGAGTCAGTGAGTAGTGGCCCTGGCTTTTCCTGAGGTTCTTCACCAAGGGAAGGGGGGACCCCCGCTGTGAGCCAACTCCCCCACCCAGTGCCCACTAAACACCACTCCCTATCCCTTCCATCTCCAAACATAGGCTGTAATTCCACATCTGTAAACATACCTTGAGCCCCCTCCTCTATTTAGCCCATATGGGTCTGGACCCTAGAGTATAAACCAAGATTTCCCAATTAGTAGATCAAGACCTCCAATTGGACCTCAAAGTTTTATTTAATCAGCCTCCAAGTTACCAACAGATGCCAACCGTCATACCATTCCAGGCAGTGTGTACACACCCCAACCCCAATCCCACTTTTCAGTGATCATAAATAACACTGAATGAGACAGACTGCCTCAGGCCTGACCATCCCCTCCACATCCTCCTTGAATTTGTGCCCTAGCCAGTGTGAGCTAAGGCAGCCTTCCCACTGCTCCCCATCCCCTACTCCCTTCCCTGGGCTCCTGCTCCCTCTGCTCCTCCTGTCTGGTCTCCCCCTCAGTTGTACTGCAAGAAGATAATGGGATGTTACATTTTTATCCTGATGTTCTCCCCGATGGTGGGGAGTAGGGCTCTACTGCACCCAGCAGCAACAGCAACAGCCACTCACACTATGGCTAAGATGGAGAGGGTGGGAAGACCCCTGGGCCTTGAAGTAGATGCTAAAGAGTAAGCTTCCCCTCTTCCACATGGAAGGGGTCAGAAGGACCGGCCAGGATCAAAAGTGCTTTATGGGTAGTGTGTATTTGTATGCCAGGAATTCCCTCTTGTGGCTTCAGGAGAGAGGTTGGGGAATTGTGCCAGTGGGATAACTGGATCATGTTCTCTTTTCCTCCCTCCTTATGCAAAGGCAGCAGGGCCAAGAGGGGAACTCTGGGGCCTGGAAATGTTAAAGTCATTACTAAGGGGAAAAAGTCTCAGGACCCTCTGTACCATGCACTTCAAGGGTCAGATGGGAAGCAGGCAGCCCCCCAAGTCCTTCCCCCACCCCTCCCTCTGCCTCCAGAACAGCAGCTGCTGGTAATTCTGCTATCAGTACTCTTGGGCTTCCCCCTACATCAAGATGCCCTGAGACTTGATACCTGGCCTTATTCCGGCCCTGGCAGCCCCTGAGACCCATGGCCTCTCACTGTCCCTCTTGTTCTGAAATGCGGCTCTCTTTGCCATCCTCCTGGGTGACTGGCTGGCCCCGAAGTAAGGTTTCCTGCACAGGGAGGGGATCCTCTTCATTCTCCTGGGGATTTGCTCTTGGGTGCACAGGACCCAAATACTCTTGCTGGCCAACCTGTTCAGGACAAAGAGTCACGTAAAGGGCAGCAGCCTTTACAAATAGAGTGCTGCCCCCGTGAGACAGAGAAGGAGCGTCATGCTAAACATTCTGACGCAGAAGAAGAAGGGAGGGATGTGCATACTTCCCTCCATGGCTGTTCCCCAGTATACAGAGAAGGTATGGGGAGGAACAGAATTCTAGGCTCTTTTCCATGGGTTCCTCCTGCCCTCTGCTGGCCACACCATGAATCACAAGTCTTTAACCCTCAAAGGGAGGGGGATGGAATCCAAGGTCATAATCTCTAGAGTTGTAAGATACTTAGAGATGATCCAACCAACCTTTTCAATTTTAATAAGAGGAAACTGAGGCCCCCAAAAAAGTTAAGTGACCTGTCCAAGGTCACACAAGTAAGGGCACAGCAAAACCAGGACTGGAACCCAAGTTTTCTGTCTCCAAATCCAGCTGTTTTGCCCCTGCTACAAAGCCACAGGCCCTCTTTTCTCTCCTCCCACAGATTCTGCCTTTGCTGCCACCTTTAAGGCTTAGGAAAAAACCCATAAGCACCTGACTGTTCAGAAGACTGGAAAAAAGCCAGGTACATTAGCTGCCAGACCTTGACACCTGGATTGCCACCATCTGTGTAAGGAAGTCAGGTTCAAGCCCCAGGAGAAGGAATAAGGAGAGAATCATAGAGTTATAGAGGATGCAGTACAGCCCTCTCATTTTACAGAGGAGGATACTGAGCCCTGGAGAGGGGACCTGCTCAAGGTTACACAGAGCCCAGACTCAAACCCAGCTCACCCAACTCCCAATCTAGTGTGAGCTTTCTGCTCCACCAGGAAGGTGCTAACAACTAGGTTCTGAGGCACAAGAAAAAAAAAGCCTCCATGGGTAGCCCCTATCCAAGTAATGAGAGGACACTGGCTATGATGATGGAAAGGGAAGCCTGTTCTTGCTGTCCAAATGTGGATGCCAGTGACTCACTCCCTCTTCTTCCAGTCTGCTGTACCCTGTCTAGATCTCAGGAAATAAAACTAGCTCAGGAAATGACCTACCTTGTTCTTTGGCTCCTTGAAACCCAGACCTGAATGGGAAATTGGGAGGAGAGAGACATTAAGGTCAAGAAAGGGAGACTGCACCCTGTGTACCTGCACCCTTTCCTTTCCCTCCTCAGGTCTTTTCCCCACCTCTCCCCAGGAGAACCTCCCAACACCCAGCCTAATCCCAGACTCACATTTCCAGTGCAACAAGCCGATGATAGCAAAGAAGATTCCTACTGTTATGGGGATCAGCACTAAGAGACCCATTCGAGATTTGGGACCTGGGGAAAACTGGGCTTTAGCAAAACCTCCCCCCAAGCATCTCCTATCCTCCTAGAATCTTTTGTTCCTCCCATTTTTCCCATCCCTGGTCCACTCTCCATCCCTTCTACTCCCCACTCAGAATTTTTTCTTTCACACAGAATGCTAGAATGTCTGATCTGGAAAGAGATGTAGTGATTTGTCTGGTGCAACCCCTAATGTTACTGATGAGGAATCAGTGGCATAGAGAGGTGAAATGACTTGTTCATAGTCACACAGCTAGTAATTGGCAGAACCAAGGAGTAGAACCCAGGTCTAATGACTGTTAAATCAAATGTTCTTTCTGTCCTCTCTACCTTTCTACTTTTTGATGATGCATAACTTCAATGTCTATCTCATCCCTTCCACTCCCCCACCCCAAATCTGACTTTAATCTTCTACCATTGTCCACCCATAATTACCGTCTTGGCAGAGCACATCAGTTGTATCCGTCCCCTCCCGAATTTCCACCAGTCCTGTGGCTTTGCACCTGGGTAAACACACAAGCACACACACACACACACACACAGAGACTGCTTTTCCAGCTCATGAGGCTTCAAGGCCAGAATTGGGGGAATCAGATCAGTCAAGAAATTCCTGCTCCTCTGTGCAAGGGATTATGGGAGATGGAAAAAGATAACTATGGTCCCCTCACTCAAGGGGCTTAAAACCAAGTGGGAAAGCAACTTTAATTAATGCATGATTCAATTCATAAACAATGATAATGCTTCTCATATTTACAGGTTGCTCAGCATTTTCCTCACAACAACCCTGTAAGGTGGTACTGGGATTACTGTCCCCATTTTGTAGATGAGAAATCTGAGTCACAGAGACTTTAAGTGACTTGCTCAAAAAGCAAGTGTCAGAGCCATGATTCATATACAAATTCTAGGTCTCTTGACTGACTCCAAGTCCAGAGCTCCTCCCACCAGACCATGCTGTACAGAACAGTGCATGATCTAAGTGCTAATGTGTGGTCCATGAGTGCTAGAAAGTTCAGAAAAAGGGGAGAGAAAAAGGATGGTGTAGTCAGGGAAGGCTTTCAGAGGGACTTGATCTGCATCTTAAAGGATGGACAGAATTTGGACAGGTTTAGGGGAGGAAAATGTGTTCTAGGCCAGGATATTACATTATATCATAGAATCACAAATTAAGAACTGGAAGGGACCTCAGAAGTCATCTGGTCCAACCCCCATATTTTACAAATACGGAAATAGGTCCAGGCCCAGAGAAGAAGTGGGAGGTAGAACAAGGACTTGGATCCTCCAGTTTCAAACTGAATGCCCTTCTCACTGAACCATAAACAGTATTAATAAAACCAGGCTCATGTCTACAGAATAATGCTGCAGCAGGCAGTGAGCAACTGTGTGGACAGAAGGCAGAGGGCAGAGGAAAGGACACCACAATGGTATTGATATTGATGAGGTCTGTTGACTTTCCCCTCTTAAGACCTGCTTCCTCCTCTGTGAAATGGGTACAATCATATTTGCACACCATGCCTCCCAGGATTTTGTTGAAAGAAAAATGTATTGCAGATCTTGCAGGAACTATAGGAATGTGAGCTATTGTCACGAGTATTCTAAGTCCTGGAGAGTTATGGGAAATAAAGTTGGGCAGGCATTATTATAAAGGGCCAGGCAGAGCAGTTCAGACTTGATTCATTAGGCAACAAGGAGCCCCTGGCAGTGTTTGATCAGTTTCATGAAAAAAATGAGTGTTTTTCAGAAGATGAATCTGGGGCTTGTGCAGAATAGATGGGAGGAGGACATGGAAGGCAGGAAGACTAGCCAGGAAACTACTCTAGTAGTCCATCTATGAGCTGATGAGAACCTGGCCATGAGAGGGGACAAAGAGGGAGACATTGCAAGGGAATAACCAGCAGTCTTGGGGACCAACTGAGCTTGGGGAGTGAAGGAGAAGGAGTCAAAACAAAGAAGTCTGATGTCATAGAACAAGTACTGAATTTAGACTGAGAACCCAAGTTTGAATCAACTTTTCCACTACATGTGTCGTATGTGGTGAGTTGTGTAATCTCTCTGAAATGTGGCTTCTGCATCCATTAAATGAAAGAGTTGGATAAAATAATATCTGAGTTCCCTTCCAGGTAGAAATCTTATAATCTCCGTGAAAATCTTACAAATCTCTGTGATTCTCCCGCCCCCCAAGATGGGTCATAGGTGATCATAGATTAGGAAATTCCCAATTTTTCAATGGGGGAAACTGAAGCCAAGAAAAGTTAAATGCAGGTCCCCTAACTCCAAACCCAGTGCTCTTTCCACTTAATAACCCTGCCCACAATGAGATGTTGGGAGGTTAGACTGACAAGTGCATAAGACTTAGTAGGATTAGGGGGCACTTCCTCACTGGGGTCTGCTGCTGTTTTCTGGATCTTTGTTTTTCAGTCAGAGCACTCACACATAAGTGTGTAATGAAGATGAGCTGGGCATATCCTGAATGTCTGAGCTCCTCTCAAACTTTTGCTACTTTGTGACCAGAAAAATGAAGGATAGACAAGAGGGTGATCATGGTAAAGAGAAGTGGGGGAAGGGAAGGAAAGGGAAAGGAAAGAAGGAAGGAAGGAAGGAAGCAAAGAAGAAAGAAAGGAGAGAAGGATGAAGAAAAGGAAGGACAGATGAAATGAGGGAGAGAATGAAAAAAGAGAGGAAATGAAGGAAAGAAGGGAGGGAGGGAAGGAAGGAGAAGAAGAAGGAAAGAGGGAGGGAAGAAAGGGAGGAAGGGACAGAGGGAGGGGAAAAAAGAAGAAAGAAAGTTGTATAAAAAGGTAGAGTAGAAAGTTAGTATGAAGAGAAGCAATATGGTATAACTGGACTTGGAGTAAAAAGACATAGGTCTGAGTCCCAACTCTAATGCTTACTAGACTGACCTTGAGCAAGTACATCATTTAATCTCTTGAGATTCAGCATTTACATCTAAAAAATGAGTAGAATTGGGGCAGCTAGGTGGTGCAGTGGATAGAGCACTGGTCCCGAACTCAGGAGGACCTGAGTTCAAATCCAGCCTCAGACACATAACACTCACTAGCTGTGTGACTCTGGGCAAGTCACTTAGCCCCAGTTGCCTCACATAAAAAAAAAATAAAATTTTTAAAATGAGTAGAATCATTCTCAAATAGGTACTAGCTGCAAGACCCTAGACAAGTCACTTAACTTTTCCCTGTCTCCATTTCCTCATCTGTAAAGTGGAGATAGTAATAATACCTGGATAGTTATTGTGAGAGTCAAATGAAATAATATGTAAAGGGCTTTGTAAACCTTAAGATATTACAGAAATTATCTGGTATTCTTTATATTATTATTATTATTATCCTTGTACTACCTTCACAAGGGAAAGATTTTATAAACCTTGAAAAATGAAGATAAGCCATTACTCTTCTTTTCTAGCTGAAAGCATGGGTGTGCCGAAGGACACACACCTGCACCAGAGGATGGCTGGGAAGGATGGGAGAAAAAAGCCTTCATGTATTGTAATGTGTCTTTTCAATTTCCCAGGTAGGCCACGGACATAAGGCCTAGGAAGCATGACCCCAATGACTACTCATGGGCCCAGGAAGCAAGAGAGTCAGGATTCCCAATACCTGGTCCAGGGGAGGCACTTTTCAGAAGCGGAGGACACGTTGGAGAAAAAGCCTTTCTCGCAATGTTCACAGATGGTGTCAGTAGAACTTGTGCCTGGGAGAAGAGAAGAGAGCAGAGTGGCTGTCATAGTCAATAATAACCAATGAACGTTCATTAAGTGTCTACTATGTACCAGGTACTGTGCTAAGCACCAATCCTCAAGGGTCTTACAATCTAATAGGGGGAGAAAATACATAAAAAGGAAGCTGAAACACAGATGGGAGGGCAGAGCATACTCAGCACGGGGGTTATGATGTTCTTAGCGTTGAAACCAAGCAGAGCAGCTGATGGCAAAGATGTTAGCTTTCATACAGGGAGGCCTTGGGAAGAGTTCATTTCTCTGCCTTCTAGCCCTTCAATCTGAGGGGAAAGGCCCCTGAGGCTGCCATCTTGAGGTAGGTCTGGAAAGCTATTAAGTCAGGCTCGTCTGGGCTATGGAAGCAATGGCCATTCCGGAGCAAGGGTCAGGAGTGAGCTTGACACCGGCTGACCTGTCCCTGTTCTCCAGTTGCATCCTGCAGAAGAACTTCTAATCCTCCCTTCCCCCCCCCTTTCCCTTCTCCTGGAGCTGGGAATGACTGGGACCTCTGGCAAGGGAGACAATGGAAGACCTTCAGTCGGGCCAAATGGCGCCATTTTAGGGCCTGAGGACCTCTCCTCCCCGCCCCAATTCCTTCCCTTTCTTTGAAAGAAGTAACAGGAATGGGAAGTGGCAATTGCTGGGCTAAATGCAGATAGAAGAAATGAAGAATACCTTTTCCCTCCTCAGCTTTGGCCCTGGCCTTCCTCACTCCCCCCATACTTCCTGGACTAGAATCTTAGATATGAAAGAGACCTTAGAACATAGAATATCAGAGCTGGAAGAGCTCAGAGACCATCTAGCTTGACCTCTTTACGTCATGAAGGGGGAAACTGAGGCACTGCCTGAGTAGAGCTACTCACCAATCAGCTTGACGCCAAAGCCTAGTGGGCAGGGGCTATGGCTGCTGCAGCTCTCACACTCTGGGCTAGTACAGTGAAAACCGTCTGTGCAAATGCAGATAGTATCCTTTGTCAAGGAGCCTTCCTCCTGAATCTTGAGGAGCAAATCTAAGCAGAGAGGGCAGTGAGGAGCCAGTGATGAGAGGAAAAGGTCAGATCTCCCTTCCCAGCTCCTTCCTGCCCCAGAATCCACTGACCCACAAGCACATGTATGGTGGACACATGTCCTCTCCCTTTCCCCTGGTTCCCCACCACCACCACTCTCTGTTAACATACTGGTATCACAGTATTTGTGTTGATGGCAGTATTTATCATGGTTCCAGGAAGACTGGAACTCGCCCTCTTGGCAAGGCTCACACTGGGTTTCACTGTCCTCACTGCAATCAGTGACCAGCTTTGTTCCTGGAAGATGTCAAGAGCAGAGAAAGTTCAGAACCCTACATTTCTATAACACACTGAGGTTTACAAAGCACTTTTCTCACAATGGGCCCTGGGAGCTAGGTAGTACTAGCATTCAATTAGTCCACAAGCAGTAAGTGCCTACTCTGTGGCAAGCACTTACTAGGCATATTATTGTACCTACTGTAGAGATGAGGAAACTGAGGAATGGGGAGTTGGGGGGCTCACATGGTTAGTACACATTACTTTGTATGTATATATGTGCCCAAAGTCACATGACTTGTATGAGTCAGGATTCGAATCCAGGTCTCCTAATTCCCATCCTAGTCACCTTTTCATATACCTGGCGAGCACTTCTCACAGCAGATTCCATTCACCAAGTACTGGTTTTTCTCACAAAACATGGATGGTTTCATATGGACCTGAAAAGAGAGAAATCACAAGATCCCCAAATTTAGCAGAACCATAAGAGACCAGTTGCCTGCCTCCAGTTAAATGAATGACAATTATTGGGCCTGGATAGTTTAGATCAGAGGTGTCAGCAACTCTCCTGAGAGCTACCAGAACTAGATTAAAATGCAATTGGGAAATAATTAACAAAACAAATTAAAAATACAATAGAACATAGATAATGTTAATTGGTGGTTTTCTAAATCAATAAATGCCTTCAAGGATCTTTGTGTACAGTTTAGTGACCCCCACACCACTAGAACTATTCAACAGACCTAAATGAGTCTGAATCATGAGGTTAAAAGTGAAAGTTGCTCTCTGGATTCAGCCTCTGATCATCCTGGCAGAGTGACCCTGGCCAAATCTCTGAACCCCTCAGTGCCTCAGGCAGCTCTAAAACCAAGGCTCAGAACAGTTGCTTATCTGCATGGGTCAAGGGAGAAGGGTGTTGCTGACAAAGTGAAATTTTCAGTGTGACCTTTGATATATCCGAAATCAGCAAACTGTACAGGAAATCTCAGGATTTGACCTATTGTTTTGGTTTGTCTAGACTTAACAAAGTGATGGAGAAAAGGTTACTGACTCAGATGAAACTTAAAAGTGCATCCTGGGTTTTTGGAGATCTGATTGTTAAATGTTTACCAGCATGCCCCCTAGAGTTTCATTATCTGTAGTTCTGTAAGTCAGTGATCCAGGCCCCAAACCACACACACACACACACACACACACACACACACACACACACACACCACATTTTAAACCACATTGCAGCTTCAGCCAATGATAATGGTAAGAGTCAAAGGACCTATGTTCAGATTCTGCTTCGGCTACCTGTGTGACCACGGGAAAATCACTTAACATCTCTGGGCCTCAGTTTTCTTATCTGCAAAGTGGGAGACTAGATGATCTCTTAGGCTTCTTCTAATCCTAAATCCTATTATCTTAAAAATACCGAAAGAATTGATCTAAATTGGAACTGAGGAACACAGTGGAAAAGCTCTGGGTGTGGAGTTAGAGGACTTGAGATCCCAGCCCAGCTTTGCCACTTATTCAGTCACTCTTAGTGTCCCTGACTACAGTCGAACCTAGTTCTCCTGGTTGCTGGTCTGTAGTCTTTGCCCTGCACCACATGTTTATCCAGCCTCTGCTTAGACACTTCCAGTGACAAAAGACTCACTACCTTATGAGGCAATCTATTCTTACTCTACCCCTAAACTATACTGCCTCTCAAATGACCCCTTTCTCTTCTCCACGTTTTTATTTTCTTCAAGCACATCTTCTTCCACACAAATTGTCATTCATTTTCATTAACTATAGCTTCCTGCCTCCTCCCATTCTCTGTCTGTCTGGCTGTCTCTGTGTCTTTCCCTGTCTCTCCACCTTTATCTCTGTGTCTCTGACTCTGTGTCCCTGTCTCTCTGTCTGTCTCTATCTCTCTGTCTCTGTGTCTGTCCCTATCTCTTCCTGTCTTTGTTTCTGTGTCTCTGGCTGAGTGTCCCTGCCTCTGTCTTTTCTCTGTCTCTGACTCTGTGTCCCTGCCTCTGTCTCTCTCTGTTTTTGTCTCTATGTCTCTGCCTGCCTCTGTCTCTCTTTGTCACTGTGTCTCTATCTCTGTCACTGTCTATGTCTCTGACTCTGTGTCTCTATCTCTATCTTCTTTGTCTCTGTCTTTCTCCCCATGCCCCCTCCTCCACCCCCAATGCTACTACATTCTTTTATTGGACCCAACTGAAGTCGGTTGAGTTTGTTGCAGGTGAGCTCTGGCCTTCAGGAAAGCTAGCAAGACAGTACTTATGTATGTCAATTAATTATATTTTACAGCCAGTAGCAAAACCCCCAGTGCTTTATACAGAAAACTTGAGAGGACTGACTCAGTAACAGCTTACAGTACAGATGAGTGCACAGCAGATGTTTGTCCCCCGGCAACATCAGCCATCTTCCAGTGCATGGTCCTGAAGGGGGCTGGGTAAGAATGTGGGTGGCTAAGTACAGCCATCAGAGGATCCCTGGGCTAGAAGGAGACTGGTAGCTCATCTAGTTTAACTGTTTGTATCACATCCTTTGGTGTTCAGTCCAGCAGCCAATGGCAGAGATCCCTTCCGAAACCCCCCCACAAACAACAATCACTTTCTGCTTGAACACAGCCAGTGACAGTCCATTCCATTGTTGGGCAGCTTCTATGCTAGGAAGTTCTTCCTTATATGGAACTAAAATATAATAAGAACAACAATAATACCTAGAATTTATATAGAGCTTTAAGGTTTACAAAACACTCTATAAATATTATCTTCTTTTATCCTCACAACAACCCTGGGAGGTAAGGGCTATTATTATTCCCATTTTACAGTTGAGAAAACTAGGGCTGAAAGAGATTAAATGACTTTCCCAGGGTCACAGAGATATTAAGTGTCTGAGGTCATACTTGAACTCAGCTCTTCCTGATGCCAGGTCCCACATTCTAATCACTACGCCACCTAGTTGAGTTTAATCCCTCTTCACATGACAATCCTTCAAGCACAGTATTTAAAGAAAGCAATCACGAGTGTGATAAAATCCATTCTCCATCCAAGTCTTTCAACCTCAACCTCAACCTCAAGAGCCAGCTGGTGGCTCAATGGGACTGGAATCAGGAAGACCTGAGTTCAAATTCTGCTTCAGACAGTTACTAGCTTCATGATCCTGGGACACATAATGTTTGTTTCCCTGAACTGTAAAATGGGAGAATAGTAGCACCTACCTTGTAGCCTGGCACATAATTGTGGTTCGTCCTTCATTCTCAAAGAGGACCATGACATCAGGTAGATGATGACATGACTGGCAATTGACTTTGGTTTGAGTGAGGGAGGGCTGTGCAAAGTCACCAGCCTCACTTTCTCCTCCATCTGGGTCCAGTGACTAAATATCAATCAGGACAACTGGAGATGGCCCAGGATGAACATAGTAGGTGCTGTGAGTTCCTTTCCTCCATTGACACAGTTTTAAGTCTTTTCATGTTGGTTGCCTTTCTCTAGACACTCTCAAGTTTGCCTAAATTGCTCCTAAAATATGACATAGGTGTCCTAGGGGACAAAACACAATGCTCCAAATGAGGCCTAACCAGGCAAACAAGTGAGATGGACACGACTTCCCTGTTTCGGAATCATACTATTGATTCATATTGAGCTTTCAGCCCATTAAAATCCCCAGGTAATTTTCATGAACAAGCATCTGGCCCCATATGCCCCATTTTATATTGATACAGGTGAGTTTTGGTACCTAAACACTGAATTTTACATCTATCTCATGAAACTGAAAATGTAAATTAAAAAATTCAAGACATGCTATACTTAATATTAAGAAATGGCCTCAATAACAAAAGCCCTATACAAGCAGTTGGTTCTGGATTTTAGCAGATTGGAAGGTTGCCATTCAGTAATACTCAAATGTCTGAAATTTAGGAAAGTGCACTGCACCCTAGGTGGGAAACTGGCTAGACAAGCATTCCAGTCTAACTAGGCCCCCTAAAATACAACAGCCTGTGGATCTTACCATACAATGGTCATTACAGCTACACACACACACACACACACACACACACACCCCATTAGATCCAGTTAGAAGGGACTTTGGGGATCATTTAATTCAACTCCCTCATTTATAGAGGAGGAAACTGAGACTCAAAGAAGAAACTGAGGTCCAAAGAAATTCAGTAGTTTGCTCAATATCACACAGATAATAAGTAGCAAAAGCAGAATGGAGACCCCTGTTTTCTAACCCTAAATCCAGTGCTCTTTACATTGTAACAGAGGAGAATTACCGCTAAAATAATAGGTCATAGTTACACAGGACTTAAGAGTTTACAGTTTTACAAAGCCCTTTAGTGTCAGTATTAATACCCCTATTTTACAGATGAACAAACTGAGTCTTGAAGTGGGAATGTACTTACTTAAGATCATATAGCTAGCAAGTTTTGGTTCTGAGCCCAGAATTTGGGGCTTGCTTGATTCCAAGTCTAATGCTCTTCAATCCAGTAATCAATATCATTAACTCCATCATAAAACAGAAATCAATCTGTAATGAACTTGTGACTAACCATGAGCCCTTAACTCTGCTCCTCCTGTCACAGAATACGCTCAAGGAGAGTGCCTGTGTGGGGCAGCCAGGTGGTGCAGTGAACAGAGCACCAGCCCTGGAGTCAGGAAGACCTGAGTTCAAGTCCAGCTTCAGACACTTGACACTTATTAGCTGTGTGACCCTGAGTAAGTCACTTAACTCTGATTGCCTCACCAAAAAGGGGGGGGGGGGGAAGGAGAGTGCATGTGGCTAGGGAATTCTCCCTATTTTAGGGAGCTCAGCCCTTGCCCTGTGGCAGAACCTGGAATGAGGGGCTAGAGAGCCTGACCCTACAGTTTACCTCCTTTCTACCAGCCTCTTCATCCCATGTGGTCTCTTCCACAAAGGTTCTTTCTTCCATCTCTAGCTCCACCCTCCCTTCTCTCTATCTCTATTTGCCCTCTTAACTTTTGTACTCAGTGAAAATGAAAGTGAGGGGCAGAAGTGGCTTCCCCCTTCCCCTCCCACCAGGAACCCAACTCCTTCCCAGTAATTCTCCCAGGCTTGTTTATTCCTGTATAGTCATCACTCTAGAGTTTTACAGCTTCACTGACAACCCCTCCCCCCCTGGTGAAATGAGGTGGGGAAAAGGGGGGAAGTTATGGGTTGGGGGCAACACAGCAGACCAGGTACAAGGGGAATTCCCAACCTCCAAAATGAGGAACTATCCAAAAAACAGAAAGGGGTGTGGGTTTTTAATGAATTCCCCAGCGATATGCTTGGGTAATTCTGAGCTTCAGAACGTGTGTGATGGCTTCAGAGAGACATCATCATCCCAGGGTAGTAGCCCCCTCTGAGAGACAGTATGGTTGAGAGGAAGAAGCCTGTGCCTAATTTACTGTGAGCAAGTCACTTCATCTCACTGAGCCTCAATTTCCTCTTGTGCCTAATTCAATGTGGGCAAGTCACTTATCTCACTGAGCCTCAGTTTCTTTTTATGTCAATTGGGAGAGTTAAACTAAACAGTCCTAAGGTTCCTTCCAACTCTACCATTTCTTAAGTCTTAGGTGCCTTCCAGCTCTCTCATCATGTGGTCTAGGAACAAGGAAGTTCTGATGTTTTACATTCTACAGGTCCTTCCAGCTCTGACATTATATGTTCATAGGATCATAAATATTTGACATGGATTTTAAAAATCTGCCTAGTCTAACCCCTTCATTCTTATGAAGAAATTGAGGGTTAGAGGGGTAAAATGATTTGCTCAAGGTCACACAGATTCTAAGTGACAAAGCAGGGATTTGAACTTGGGTGTCTGATTCCAAATTTAATGTCTCTTCCACTGATTTTGTACTTTCCTCTAAAGTCCCTTCCAGTTCTGCTACTCTCTGTTCTAATGTTTCTCTCTAATTTTGGCATTGTTTTCTAAACCCCTTTCAAATTGGACATTACAGGATTCTCAGTTCAAAAAACAAATCTCATTGATTTGTTTCATTTAACCCCCTGATGCTGTCCCTGAAATTGTGTCCATTTCTTTGAGTTAGGGAATCATAGGGTATTTCCCTGGCTTTTCCCCTGAGACAAGACTCGTGGTCCTATAAAGATGTGGTAGCTTTGCCTGCTGTGTCTCCCCCTTCCCCTTCTCTAAGGAGTTTCGGCCCTTCACTTATCTTTCCCTCTATCCACAGAAAGGGCACAGCAGGGAAGCACTGATAAGTCTCCCCCCAAGTTGTCAAGAATCCCATGACCATGCAGAAGGGGTTGTTTCCAGATGCAACAGCATCCTGTAATGTGAGAAAAGGACAGGAAACTGGACTTTTTCCACCTCTTCCTATTCCATTCCGTTTCCTTTCTGGCCTAGAGAACAGCAATCTATCTGTAACCTCCCTAGTTCTTTAGCCAGCCAGTCCCAGGAGTTTAAGGCTGAACACAGACTCCTGGAGCCTCGCTCTGTGCCAACTGAAAGGCAGTCTCACCTCTTTTTTCTTGAAGTGCCAGTGATAATATTCCCACAAAAACTCTGGACTGGACTGGACACAATACAAATTCAAGGAATATGGAATGAATTGAATCAATTCTACTGAGGCACTGGTTGCCTCAGACCCTTAAAGCTGGCTGCAAGGAGCAACTCATGGATGAATGATCTGTTGCCTGGCAGTTAGCCGGGTGACCCACAGCTCACTCCCCTTAAACTGACCGTAAGGAGAGTTATTCTCTGCTACCAGGTCATTTCCCTTCCCCTACCCTCTCTTTCTCTACCTTTTGTTCAACTTTTAGCTTCTCCCCATCTTTCATTAATTGATCTCTCCAAGAAAGTAAGTCAAATGTTAGATCTGGTGAAGAGGAACCTCAGAGAGTCCATTATCCTCATTTCACAGAGGAAGAAACTGAGGTGTAAAGAGGACACCTTTCTGTATCCCCTAAAATCCACATTATAGCCAGATGTGTGAGCCCTTTCCAAAAAGTCCTGCTTTTTTTTCCATCCCATCCCTTCCCAAGTTTTAGACCCCAACCTGGCCTCCCTGGAAAGAGAAGGGGAATGAAGGGGTAGGAGATCAACTCACGGCGGTGAAAACGCAGCTCCACAGCAGACAGAACAGGATCATGGCTGGACTGGAAGAAGGCTCCAAGAGAGGCGAGGATGGCCAAGAGCCAGCGTCTAATAATCCCCTACACACCACATGGGAGCCCCACCCATAACATGGGCGGGGCACCTCAACTCAATCTCACTTAATGTTGGCGGGAGAGTTAGAACCCCGGAGAGCCCCCTGACCGCACCACAATTAGTCTTTTCCGTGGATATTCCAGGTTAGGACAGTTTTCCGAGATCCAGTTGAGAGGACTCTTTTCCTGGCACCTCAAGCTTCTCTCCCCTTTACTTCCAACCCCTGTAGTGGAACCCCAAAGGGCAGTAAAGGCAGGAAAGAGGTAGCCTGTCTGTGCTCCAAGGATTACAGGAGCAGGGAACTGAGTTGTTCACGTGGGGCTGGAGACCCCTGGGTTAGGGGCGCAACACTGCTCCACCCCCACCACCATCCGCCCGAGCTGACAGAACTGAAAGTCTGTCGTTCCCCCCCTGCCTCCCCCCACTTTCTCTGGGCTCTCTGCCAGCTTTTCTAGAGGAAGTCCCCTGGGAGAAGTGCAGCTTGAGAAGAGAGCGGGGGTGTTTGCAAGGAAAGGAGTTTCCCAAGCTGAGTTTCTCTTTCATTCCCAAGGAAATTCCAGACTAAGTGAGGGACCTAGAAAGGTGGGGAGAAGCTTTTCGATGCCCTCTTTGTTCCAACTCTAAGACCGAAACTGACAGGAAGAAGAACCACAGTTCACATTCCTTCGGTAGCACTTAACAATGCTAGTATAAAAGTTACTGCCCCCATTTTACAGAGGAGAGAATGGAGGCACAAGGAGAGAAGAAACTGGCTTGTCTAAGGTCACACCATAAGTCCTGGGCAGAGCCAGGCCTGGTCCCCAGATTTCCTGACTCTCACTTGGCTGTAAGCTCTTCAGAGAGCAGGGACTGTTTCATTTTTGTCCTTGTATCCTCAGCTTCTAGCCCCGTGCCTGGCACACAGTAGGTTCTTAATACACACTTGCAGAAAGATTCTGAAGGTATGAAAAATAGATTTAACCACTCTTTCTTCCTAGGATTATGAGTGTTTTAAGGGACTTTTTAAGATTATCCACCTACCCCCTCCCTGATTCCAACTCCAGGCTTTCTTTTATCAAGAATATAGTCATAGTTTTTATTTCTATAGCAGTGAACACACAAAATTTATTTACCACCTTCATTTTAAGGAAAAAATGGAAGCCCAGAAGGGAAGGGATTTTGCGTAAGGTCAAGAAATCAAAGCCAGAACATCTAATTTTAAATCCAGTGATTTTTTCATTGCACACAGGGTTACAAAATCCCCACTCCTCACCTTCCTAAAAATCTGTGGTTTCAGAATCTTGTAGGAACTTGGTATTCCTACAAGAACACCCAAATGGGAGTCAGGAGATCTGGGTTCTGGGCCTGGTTCTGCCCAGGACTTCTTAGATAAGCCAAAAAAGAGAACCTCCTATGCTTGTTCTGAGAAAGTGTCATCCAAAAACTGTCACATGCAAGTCATAATGACACAGTTCCCTGACTTGTTAAACTTTAAAATAAATTTTACTCAAAATTCACAAACTTAAATAAGCATCAAAAAAATAGAAGCAAACTTTCCAATTACATTTTCGTAAGTGTTTAGCATTTATGTTTCTGAAGCTATTAAAGTTTAAAAGTGCACTAATGCGCTTGAGGCAGTGAGGTGGCACAGTAGACAGAGCACCGGCCCTGAAGTCAGGAGGACCTGAGTTCAAATGCAGCCTCAGACCAACCACTTGAAGCTTACCAGCTGTGTGACCCTGGGCAAGTCACTTAACCCCAACTGCCTTAAAAAAAAAGTGCACTAAGACTTTTGGGACATGCAGTGAGTATGTGTATACATATACATATATGGGTACATATGCATATACATACATAGATGCATACATACACATAGTTGGATGTAGAATAATTATGAGGTAATTAGAAGCACAGGCACTAGCAATAGTGGGGATCAGCAAAGGTCTCCTGTAGGAAGTTACACTTGGGCTGAACTTTGAAAGGAATGAGGGATGTTAAGAGGTGAAGATAAGGAAAAATGACATTTTGGGCATGGAGGAATGGCCTGTGAAAAGGTTCAGAGACTGGAGATAGAGTGTTATCTGTAAGAGACATGAGAAGGTCCTGGAAGTTTGGATCAAGAAGGATGTGAAAGGGAGGATGTGAAATATTTATTAAGACTGGGAAGGAAAAGAGTTATAATACAGGTTGTAAATGCCAAACAGAGGAATGTGTGTTTGATCCCAGAAATATCAAGAAACCACAGGGATTTATTGAGCAGGGGGCTTGACATGATTGGAGACCTGTTTTAGTAATATTCAATTTGTCAGCTGTGAAGAGGTGAAATTAGAGAAGAAACTGAAGAAAGGGAAACCAAATAGGAAGCTCTAACAATAGTCCAGAAGAGAGGTAATAAGAGTTTGAACTAAGGTGGTAGTTATGTGACTAGAGAGAAGGAGATAGATGCCAGAGATGTTATAGAGGCAGAATCAACAAGACTTGGCACCTGACTGGATGTGTGAGGTGATGGAGAATGAGGAGTTAAGCGTGACTTAGAGATTGGGGCAGTTAGATGGCTCAGCGGATAAAGCCCTGGGCTTGGAATCAGGAAGACTCATCTCCCTGACTTCACATCCAGCCTCAGACACTTACTGGCTGTGTGACCCCCAGGCAAATCACTTAATACTGTTTGCCTAAGTTTCCTCATGTGTAAAATGAGCCGGAGGAGGAAATGGCAAACCACTCCAGTCTCTTTGCCAAGAAAATGCCAAATGGGGTCACAAAGAGTCTGACACTACTGAACAACAACAATAAAAACAGATTGAGAATCTAAGTAACTTGTAGGATCTTTGTGCCTTTAAGAGAAATAAGAAAGTTGGTAAAAAGGGGTGGGCTTAGAGGAAAAGTAATCAGATCTGTTTGGGACATGTTGAGTTATTACGCCTATGAGACATCCAGCTTGAAATATCCCAAGGCAGCTAGTTGGTGATTCCAGATGAGAGATACTGGGGCTGGATATACAAATTTGGGAATCATCTGCACAGAGATGATAACTAAACTCATTGGAGCTTATGAAGTCACATAAGAGAGTGTGCAAAAAAAAAAAAAAAAAAAGTAAGACCAGGCAGAGTCTTGGATTTCACCTGCAGTTAGGAAGTGCAATAAGGGTGACAATTTAGCAAATGAAATTGAAGAGGAACTATCATAGAGGTAAGAGAGCCAAAGAAGAGCAATTAAAGTAGATACTTAATAGCTGTGTGACCCTGGGCAGTTACTTAACCTCTGTTTGCCTCAGTTTCCTCAACTATAAAATGGGGATAATAATAGCACTTGCCTCACAGAGTTGTGAGGATTAAATTAGATAATTTTTAAAGTGTTTAGCACAGTGCCTGATATATAGAAGCTTCTATATGAATGTTTATTGCCTTCCTCTTCCCCAGTGTCATGAAAACCCGGTGAGGAGAGAGTATCCAAGAAGAGAGAGTGGTAAATAGCATCAAATACAGCGAAGAGATCAAGAAGGATGAGGACTGAGACATTAGTCATGTTGGCAACTTTGTCGTGTTGTGAAAGAAGAAACAGAACAAAAGGGAAAAGACCATTAAAAAAAAAAAAACCAAGGAAGTGAAAACCTACATTTGGACTCCAACAACTCTTTCTCTGGAGGTGGATAGCATTTTCCATCATGAGTCTTTTGGAATTGTCTTAGATCATTGTATTGCTGAGAAGAGCTAAGTCTATCATAATTGATCATTGCACAATGTTGCTGTTACTGTGTACAGTGTTCTTTTGGTTCTGCTCACAGCATCAGTTCATGTAAGTCTTTACAGGTTTTTTTGGAATCAGCCTGCTCATCATTTCTTATAGCACAATAGCATTTCATTACAGTGAATAATAATTTTTTAAAAGGTAAAATGGTCCTGTAAGAATATTGTTAGGAGTGCTAAAGCCCAAGATGAGCTGAATTTGTTGATGAATGCTAAGAATAACTAAAAGAGCTTTATTTGCTAAATTGGGGAGAAAGAAGACTCAAAGAAGAACTGCTCAGGTTGGGTGAAAAAATTATGATGGATGATAGAATGAAAGCAGAACTACTCATCTATCTTATTTTGCTTTTGTTTCTTCTACCAAGGAAACATAATTGGTTAATAGGATATTAAAGCTAAAGATAAGTGAGAAGGGGCAGCTAGGTGGTGCAGTAGACAGAGCTCTAGCCTTGGAGTCAGGAGGACCCAAGTTCAAATCTGGTTTCAGACACTTGACACTGTGTGACCCTGGGTAAGTCACTTAACCTTGATTGCCTCACCAAAAAAAAAAAAAAAAAAAAGATAAATGAGGAAATAGTAAGAGAATATTTTGCTGCCCTGGAGGAGTTAAATCACTGAGGAAGGGCCCTCAAGAACTATATGAATGAATAAATAAATATTTAAGTGCTTTCTACATGCAAAGCACTGCGTTAAATGCTATTGATTCAAACAGAAAAACAGGACAGTTCCTGCACTTAAAGAGAAATAATACATATAGGAGAGTGCAGCAATAAGTCAGATAGGAAGGCTTAATGGTCCTTAGAATGCAGCACCAAAGCAGCTGGTGATGCCTCTTCTTTAATTTATTTCCTCTGATAAAATCAGACTTCTTTCTGATATTGAGACATTTCATTATGCCAAGGAGTTTGGTGGTAAGAAATTTCTTAAATTTTTTCTTTCCTTTCTTACTTTCTTAAATAGCTATGACCAAAGGGGAGACGAGGCAGAAGCACCTGCCTCTACAACTCTAGATCTCCCACTCAGTATCTAGATCCAGGTCCATCTGCAGAAGGCTGCAGGGGCTGGACTAGAAGCAAGGCTGGCAGTACTGCTGTTCCCAGTCCTCTTGGTCTGTGGGTCTAAGGGGAAATGGTAGTGGTAGTTTGACTCACCCAAATGATACACCTTCCTATCTCTGCCCCAAGGGACTTTATTGCTTCACTTAGGTAACTTACCTGCCCTTTGGGTTGCAATTGGTCAGCATGACTGGCCCTTTCACCACAAGAGTTTCTCCCATGAATGATAACCTCAGGGATTGGGCTAGAAGCACTGTCAGTGGTCTGGGAGTGGGAGTGGGAGGGGTACTGCTCTTCCCAAAGCTTTTAGGACCAGGGTTCTGGGTTGTCTCCACTGGGATCTGAGAGGAAGTGGTGGCAAGATGATGTTGGTGATTTGACTTGCCTGGCAAGGCTCCTTCAAGAATTGTAAGATGTCACTGCTGAATCAGTACCAGGAACCTTTAAGTGGCTGTAGACAACAGGAGAGATACCAAAATACTGGAGAAAGGTAGGTGTTCCAATTTTCACAAAAAGAAGTGAAAGGCTTTAATTCCTAACAAAACTCTAAAACATTTGTAACCTGAGTACATTCCCTGATGACTTAATTATTTGACTTATTTTTTTTC